TGGTGGGGGGGTGGGTAAATGCTCTTGGCCTGCCCTGTCTCAGGACATGGAGCTTACTTCAGTCCAGGGGCTACCCCCCAGCCCCCGCCAGCTCTTCGTTCCAGGAGAGGACTGACAATGGGGGCTGGCAGATGTTATCATGCCCATGTTGTCTACAGATGCATGTCCGGGGTGTGGGGGTGGTAGGGAATGTGAGAAGAACCTTTCTAGCACTGCTTTGGAAATCAGGTAGAATTCATTTTGCCTCTTCTGATCTTACACATGCTCTCTGGAGTAAACGCTGTTTGAACTTCCAGAAGAGAGGGCCTGCAGGAGCTTTCTCTCTGAGCCTGTGTACCATGGGCCTTCCTAGCAAAGCGCATCTGGTCTGATGCCCAGGGAACAGCTTTAGCAGCTGACTTTGCTTTTCAGTTTAGATGAGAGATAATAGTAAAATAGTCTATGGAGCATAAATTCTTGTCAGTGGATTTGCTTTTCCATGGAAAAGCGCCTTTGTTCCCTATGGATCACTGTTATTATGTGTATGGGCCTGATGGGGGCTCAGGTCATCCTGAGCCTGGAGATTCCAAAGCCACTCAGGGACTGGAGGCCCTTCCCGCCTGGGTCCCCTGTTAACAGCTGCCCCTGGGAAAGGCTGTTCCATTGGGAAGCAAGGAGTCTCTCCTGACTCTGGCAGAATGGGGCTGAGTGCAGCAAGACTCACCCCTTCCTCTCTCTTTTCTTTTTGGTACCCAGGATCTGGCAGCTGATCTAAAGACCCAGCCTTGTGATCGCAATGCCATCATTAGTTGAAACAAAATCATTCCTTGTAACTGGAATATAGTTACTATAAACAGCATACGTTTATTGGGCACTCTATTTCTAAGAGTTGTAATTATGCTAGAATACTTGCCATTAATATAATAACAACATTGATCGACCAGTTCTCTGTTCCAGACTAATAACTTCACCTGAATGTACTCTTTGTTCAGGGGGAGGGAGGAAGATGTAATTCAACATCCCTGGTGATAGTCAACAAAGCCAGTGTTGAAATGGAAGATGCAGGGATGAAAGCCTTCCTAGGGATACAAGATGGCGCTGGGGCAAAGAAGAGCCACCTGGCAGTCTCCCTCTTGACTGACAAAAGGACCCTGTCCGCGTCCCCACACTCAGATGTTGAAAGGAAATGAAAGCCTGGGGACTTACAGAAGACTCTCTGGGCCCGGCTCCCTCTTTCATCTATGGGGATTGGTCTGGGCCTGGATGTCCAGGGGAGCCACAGGCCCTGAGGCCAAGTGGCAGTCACCCTGGTAGATGGGACAGGGAGACCGTAGCCTGGACTTGAGCACTCACCCTCTGAGACCACTTCTTGGGCATGGACCGCTCCTTGGTGCTGTCCAGCTTCTTTCCACTTACAATGAAAGAACTTTAGAGATCACGTAGACCAACGGTCCCATTTTACTCATCTCTAAATGCAGACTACAGATGTCTTATGCACCTTGGAACCTCTCGCAATGCCCTACGTATGGGAAGTGCTCAGGAACTGGGTAATGCAGGACGAAAGGTGACCCATAGCAAAGCTTTGGGTACCATGCTGTGAATAAGCTCTTCCCCTGGCAGGGGGAGGGAATGCTTCTGTCCGGGGTCTTCTATAAAATCACCTTTCAAATGTCTAATTTTGTTTGTTTATGCCTTATTCCTGCTACTCTCTCTTCCCAGAAACAAAAAATATAGAAAACAAAATAACAACATGAAAAAAAGGTCACCTTATTTCCATTAGCAGCCAGGGGCTTTCCTTTTAAGCTCTGAGCACAATGACCTCCTTCCATGACCCCAAATGGCTGGATCAGTCAAGAGTCCACAAATACTTATTGCTTCTTTTCCCTTTGGTACATTCCCCAGGAAAATGCCACTACAATGATCATCATGAAGTGGTCAACTCTGGATTCTCCTCACAACTATACTCAAAACGGCCCCAGTATTGAGCTGGGTAGAAGGCAGCCTCCAAACTTGGACCAGAAACACAACCTCAGAGCTTCCTTTTCTTAGAATAAATAAACATCCAGGAAAAAGAGGAGCAAAGGTGACTTCAGTTCAGTGATGCAATGAGGGAAGCATGGTGATTCCAAGTTCCCTGGGAGCCTCTTGCTGTAATGGCCTGCGAGGCTCACCGTAACGCAGCTCAGGTGAAATGCAAAGTGTCTGAGTGCGGCCCTGGTAGGTTAGTTCATCGCCACCTTCCATTGGCCACGTTCCTCCAGGCCTCTTCCTTTCTTGGGAGCCCCAGCATCAGACCCTGGGAGGGGCTGTCCCTCACCGGCAGCCTTCGTAGGCGGGGCGTTGTGCCTGGCTGGCAACCAGGGCTCTCTAGGACATCGTCCTTCTACAGGGATCCCTGAACTGCAATGGGAAACATGGTGGGCTCTTGTTTTATTCTCTCCTAGTTCTTTCTTCCTCCTTCTGAGTGGCAGATGCAAGCTTCTTTTATGTATTTAAAAGAAAGAAACTTGGGACAAGAGGAGCAAACAAGAGAGAAAAAGCAGAAACTTGAAAACCTCCTTCAAGGTAATTAAATGATTAGGGGCCTTTGAAATCCACCAGACAGCTCAATTGTTTCTGTTTCATCTAGTTTACCCTTGGGCCTCTCCACACATGAAACCTGTGCCAGACACATCAGTCTGGAAAGCTGGAGAGAGGCTCAAGACCGCTCTGTTTCTGCTCTCATCAAGTAACTTACAGGTTCCCGAACAAAGTAAGAGGTTTCTTCCTGGGCCCTTGGCCCCTGGTCCTGGGGGCTGGGGGGGTGAAGCAGACCTTCCTCTCCTGACCACATGCCCCAAGGTAAAGGCTCAGGGTTGAGGAGACTGGACAGCCTTTTATCAGGGTCTTGTGCCCCTTGCTGTCAAATCCATGTCTGTCCTACTAGCTTTAGATCCGTTTTGTCTTAAAGAGGAACAGGATCGACACCTACATGTTAGCTTCACATTCCTTTTTAAAGCCGACATGTAATCTCTTTCTTCCTTTTCCCCCTAAAGGGACCATCTAAGTCTGGGTCTCTTTTCTCGATTATGATCCAGAGCAGCCATTTCTAGCCAGACAGACCTCATCTTAGAAGGAGAGGGCTTTACGTCTGGAGACTTCCACGGCCTCTTCTTCCTCCTCTTTGTTTCTCTCTTGTTTCTTTCTTGTTTGCTCCTCATGTCCTCCCACTCAGTCGGATCATCCTCTCCCCATGACCACCTCACCATTCCTTGCCTTTACCTCGAAAATCAGTTGCCCTGTCCACCCTCTACCTGTAGAAATTTTGCTCAGCCATCCGACCCTGGGAAGGTGGGATTTGGAGCTCGAGTTTTCTCATTGCCAAGCAGAGCTCAGTCATTGTCCCCGTGGGCTGGCAGAGCCCCATGCAGCAGGTGCTGGGAGTGGGGAGTACATCACCCTTCCCATTCAGCCTCAGGGACAAGACAGCTTCCCTCCTGCCGTTAAAGGTTTGGCCAAAACTAGGGTTCCCATGGAGGTAGGAGTCTGGGAGAAGGGGACAAGTGCACTGTGATGGGCCTTTCTGTTCTCACCATTCCCTTCCTGTCCCCCAAACAGATTTTGTGCTTCCTGCACCAGCACCATTCTTGGCTTTCGTAGCTGTGGGGTGTGCCACATGGTCATGGCGCCTGTGTGGGCATGGAAGGGGCTGGAAGGTACACCTAAGGCAGGGGAAGGGGGTGAAGATGTTGGAAACTGAGTCCAGTGTTGACAGAGAGAGCATGGGCCAGGATGGCAGTTCTGGCCCTGCATTCAGTGGGGTCTAACCAACACTGTATATAGATAAATACCTTTCTAGTCTAAATAACCATGTTCTAAAGCAACCACTCTGTTCAGTCCTACTGGTCTGATGGATGGGGTCACATAGGCACCATAATGGCTGAACAACAGCAGACTTTTCCAAAGTATTTTTATACCAATTATTTTTGAGGTCCTTGCCCACAAACTTACATCCTAAGAAAGGCAGCAATGCAGGTATAGAGTATTTCTATTATGTTGATGAACAGTGTTCAAGGATAAGAATAGGGGTGCCTGGGGGGCTCTGTCTGTTAAGCATCTGACTCTTGGTTTTGGCTCAGGTCATGATCTCAGGGTCGTGAGATTGAGCCCCTTGTTGGGCTCCGTGCTCAACGTGGAGTCTGCTTGAGATTCTCTCTCTCCACCTCCCCCTCTGCCCCTCCCCCCATGCACACACTCTTTCCCTCTCTCTCTCTCAAGAAACAAAAAACAAAACAAAACCACCACCACCACCAAAAAAAGGATAAGAATAAAGATTAGGAGAGAATAAAAACACAGCTTCTTAACCATGGAGCCAACTCTAGTGATTCCCAAATGGGACTGACTACACCATAGAAACCAAGAACCAAGCCAACCCCCAGAGCTTCTCATCCAGTTGGTCTTCGGGCAGGGGTGGTGGTGGTGGTGGTAAACTTTGAGTTTCTAACATGTTCACAGGTGATGCTGATGCCACTGATCTGGGAACCACACTTGGAGAACCACCACTCTGGTTGATAAGTTGACCTTTCTTTCTTATTTCTCTCTCCCTGTTACTCAAATTGTCCAATTTGGTATCAGATATGCTCTGTGGACAATGCTCTGAGGGACAGCCAAGGAGTCTATATATAGTCTCGCTGTGTACTTATAATTATTTCTATCACACACACACACACACACACACACGCCCATCTCTCTGGAATTGTTCTAGAGCTCACCTGGCATGTGGAGGGTCTTCATGGCTGGAGTGACCTGGAATGCACTTTTGCCTGTAGCTGACCCTCCAGGACTGACCCAGAGCCCACTAGCCCCAGGGTCAGAGCTATGCATGTTCACTTCTTTCATGAAATGGTCCCTTAAGAGCCAGGGTTGGGTGGAAGCAGGTGCTGTGGGATTTGCCTTTGTTTTCTCTTCTCAAGGGTAGGCTTGCCTCGTGAGGCCCATGCTCACGGCCAGCAACACTCATGGCTCCAGGTGCCAGGACCTACCTCGGGCAGCTTCACTCGGCCTTCCTGGAAGGAGCAAGACTTGGGGTCATGGGTACAGACGTGCCGGTATTTGCACCAGTGACATTGATATGGGCTCTCCACGCAGGACAGGCACCTGCCCACAGAGAAGAAAGAGGCACAAATCACAGAACGTCGGTGAACCCAAAGCAGAGGGCCTAAGACTCCTGGGTCTAGCAAAATATTTTTTAATAGTAAGTGAGAAACCACCTTCCAACACTCAGGAAGAGCAGATCCGATACAAATCTGTCCCTTTCTGCTCCAAGTTCTCAGGATGCCCAGATTCTGTGGCTTCCTCCCCCTCATTCAGGTAGGTGAAAACCTTGGTCCCCAAGGGCCCAATCCACACATGTCCTCCATCTCCATAGGATGGTGCCCTCTTTTGTGGAGCTGGGGAACAATGAGGTCTGGAGTAGAGGGGTTCATCCGGAAAGCCCATGCATTTAGTGTCAAGAAAGAAATAGAGTTTTAATTCCAATTGACTCCAGGATCTCACTGTCAAGGACCCACATGGACCCACCCCAGAAGAGGAAGGTTCTAGGCTACTGTCCAGTGCAGTGGGTCCCCACACAGTTAGCAATCCTGTTTCTACACTCCATCCCCAAGAAACAAAGGCAACGTTATCAGAGCTTCTTCCTGTTTAAAACCCAGCATGGTTCCCGTCTTCCAGAGGGTAAAACCCAAATGCCTTGCCCTGTGGGCCGAGCCCTTTACGATGTCCAGGCCCACTGTCTCCACATGTGTTTGCTGTTTCAGTTGTGAACAGGCCATGCTCTCCTCCATGCTGTCCTGCCTGGGGTACCACTCCCCCTTCCTTCATCTGCCCATCTCCTCTTCCTTCTTTGACTAACAGAGAGTTGGTCACACTGGGCCCTTGTCCCATTAACCACTCTGTTTATGTCTCTGGGACTGTCCTGGCCTTTCTGTATCATATTTTACTTATTAATTATCCCACTAGTCCACAAGGCCATGACTTCTTGAAGCAGAGCGTGAGTCTTTGAGCCTTATTCATTGTTGACCCTTCTTGTCTAATGACACTCCTTGTATCTAGTAGATGCTTAAAATTATTTTGTGGACTGCATGGAAACTTCACACATGATTTAATCTGTCTATTCTGCTTTCCTAGAGGGGCAAAAAGGGAGCAAGGGAAGAGGTCACCAAGTGGTAAAGCCACAGGCAGCTCCGTGGCAAGAAGCAGGGAGAGAATTCTGGCGTCAAAGCAACTTGTTTTTGGCTAGGAGGCCTGACTACCTCTTACTTGGATCCCCAAAGATAGCCAAGCTCTGGACCCACAACTGCCATAACCAGAGAGGTAGACTAACATTCCTCCAGCCTAGAGCCCGGAAGTGTCTTTGGTTATGTTAACTAGCTTGTTCTATAGGGAGAGGTAAACAGAAAAGCATTTTAAAACAAGCAGGGCTTTATGAAATCAGGTCCTGTGGTTTTCAAACTATGCTCTGTGGAACCCTAAGGGTTCCATGGAGTTTTGTTGGAGACAAGGAGATAGATGTGTGGGGTTCTAAGACAGAGGGGTCCCAGGCCCTCCCAACCCTCAACCAGAGTAGCTCCTATTTCCATCTGTTTTTTGTATATTGGGTGTCTACACCTAATTTTGGTTGGAGAAAGGTTTCTATGGTTCATACCTTCTCAGTCTGGTCCAACTCCTTCATTTTAGAGAGGAGATAATCACATGATAACAGCAAAAACATGAGCAGTGCCCAGACAGTGGCTCTAAATGCTATTCTTGTAATGACTCTTCTAGTCCTCACAGCTGTCTTGTGGACCAAGCAGTGTTGATGAACAGGGGCGGGGGCGGGGGGAGAGGGGGAGTCCCAGCCAACCGAGACTCTGCCCGGAAGGGCCCTGGCTGTGTCGGCACTGAAATATTTGGGTGACATTCTTGGAAGGAGGACTACAATTTCCCCACAGACGGAACACTGGGGACACAGAATGGTTAAGTTTCCAGCTGGTGTGACTCCAGAGCCCGAGACTCTGCCCTCCGTGCCTTCCCTTGGGAAGCAGACGCTTCAATCAAACAGGGCCAGGGCTAGAGCTGGTTCCCGTCAGCACATGCCCCACTCTGACCCTCTGCAGCTCGAGGCCTGACCCAGCCCACAGGGGACTGGGGAGAGCTGGGTGTTCAGTGCCTGGCCTGGACACATGGGGGCTCCTCTCCCTCCTCAGACCCCTCTATTCACCCAGGGCACTGGCTGCTCTGTTCTTCAGGTGAGGGCCACCCTCCTCCTCTACAGAACCAAATTGGGTTAGACAGACTGATGCCAGCGAAGATGTACGGGCTAGGGATTTGGAGATCCCACCCCGCTGGTTCTTCCTCTGCTCATTCCTGCCTCTTCCCGTTAACCCCATGGGTACCAGAGGGGGGCCCTGTCTCATCCTCTTTCTCCCTACAGGCCCTCTAGATGGCAGCTCCTTGCCAACAGGGCTGGCGCCTTCAGTCTCCGGATGAACCTTGACCCCAGGAACAGGGAGTGGAGTGGGGCTGGAGCCACTTACGAATTGTGGACACTGCAGTTGTAAAAGACAAAGCTGGTGCTGGCAAAGGTCATGCCTGTCTCCTTCGACTTGAGCTGCAGCTGGACGACATGGTGGTCCCCTGTGGGGTAGAGCCAACCACAAGTTCAGGCGGGAGGCCAAGGCCCCGTGTGAGGTTCCCACTGAGAGTGATGTATGCGGGGAAGCGGGAGCCCGCTCCCCCGGGGGGTGCTCTCAGCTCGGACAGGACTCTGATTCAGCAGGGCCCAGGCCCAGGACAACTCTGAGAGCATCTGCAGAGGGCGCTTCTGGTCTGTTCCTCCGTCCACGCTGTGTTCCCAGCACCTACCCCTCACATGCTCACCAGCTTCTCTCCTGCCTGCACACTCTCACAGGCTGGCGTGTGGGGTGTCCACGCCAGACTCACAGAATTGCGCACACACACACACACACACACACAGATTAGCCACCAGGACAAATGTGTCGGCTCTAACGCTGCCACAGGCCACACAGGAGGTTTTGCATGCATGTGCGCGTATGCACGCACCTAAGTTCATTCCCCATCTCGGTAAGGAGACACCCTGAGCTGACGTCCCCGCCTTGGGCGATGGGGTGGGGGGGCGGCGGCTCAGGGCTCCATTCAGGCCGGTGTCCCTGCAATCCTCAGCTGGCGCCAGGGAGGAACTAGAGCCCATGTTTAATTCACAGCCCTGACCCCAGGCCCCCACTTCCAGTCTTGTTCTGTGCCCTCCCCGAGAGTCTCATTAATCAATCAGCTTGGAACAAATGTGACAAGCCCAAATGGGAGCGCCAACATGGAATCAATCTGCCCAGGCTGGGCCTGTCCCTCACCGGCACTGGGCCTCTTTCCACCCCTGATCCTCCCATTGCAGCTCCGGGAAGGCACGGCACAGTGGGGATGGCAGGCAGGGGCCCGAGATCAGAGACCCAGCAGTGCAGGCAGGGTAAGGGGCCAGATGAGCTCTGGCACCCCCACCCCTGCTCCTGACCAGCTTCCCCTCCCCCACTGCCCCTCCACGCCCGCCCTCTCAGGCTCCAGGGCAATCTCTGAACTCAGCTGGCACATTCTCATGCTGTCCTGGCCTTGCCCTCCCTCCACTCTCTTTGCAGCTGCTCCTTACCTAGGATGATGCTGCCTCCAGGAAGCTCACCTGGTTTCAACAGTCATTTCTAAGAGCAGCGAAAAGACACTTCACCCCTTCTTCCGTATCATACCCGCCAATGCACCCCCTCCCTGACTCTCCCCTGCCTGTGGGCTCCCTCAGTGCCCCCACGGCTGTCCCGAGTTCTTGTCAGGTCAGGAGGAAGGACATGCCACCCCGCTTTTCCTCCGGGGACCACTCACCGTTCTCGGTGATTATCCGGGGCACCTCCTTGGCTGCTGGGGAGTAGCACTGGATCTGATTGCCTACCACCAGCCCATCCATCTCTGACAGGTCCTCAAAGGTGCAGTTGACGCCAGCTGACAGCTCCGGGACATTGTATGTCTCTAGGACCAGCTGCGAACGGCCAGGCAAGGGGAGAGAGAGGAAGAGAGTGAAGTGGGGAAAGGGATGGGGCGTAGTAAAGGAAGAAAGAGGGAGATCAAGAGAGATCAGAGAGAAAGAAAAGAGGGAAAACAGGAGGCGATATTAACACATAGAAGAAGAGAGCCCATTAATCCATCACAAGACATAGAGACAAGGTGGTGGGGTGGAAAGAGACAGACACAGAGGAACCTTCATTACATATGGATGGATTTGGCCCCAGGAAATGGGAATGCTTAGGGGATGTGTCTGTAGAAAGAAAGGCGGGCAGGACTGAGGTATTGCTGGTCAAGCTCCTCTTCCATGGTCCCCAGTTTTGGAAAAATGGCAAACCAACCACCAAGGGCCCAGTGCATGAACATGGGAGCCATCCTGCCCCCTTTCTCCCTCTGCACATACATCCTTCCCATCTTACAGACAAACATGTAGTTCCCAACAGCCTCCCTCTCTTGGTCACCCTTTTGATCCTCTTTGGTATCACACTTTTCCCTGTCTTTCTACCCATTGTGCAGAAAGCCTCTGCCCCATATTCCCGTGCACGTTCCCCTCTTCCATCTCCAGGGATGCATCTTTTAAAGCTGCTCTTGATCAGCTAGGCTGGTCAGGTGTGGCCCAGCTCTCCTGAGAAGCCTTGGTGGGCTTCGGTGGGAAGAGGGTTCTGCCACGTCCCTGGACCCAGATCCCCCTGCCCTTACCAGGACATTGTACTGGGAAACAGAGATATTGCTGGGATGGACGGTCAGCCGGACGCATTGCTTCATCTCAGAGGCAAACCTGCGGGGCTCTCTGGACCGCTCACAGCGCTCCTTCCGGGTGCACCTGGAGGGACAGAGCAACGTGTGACTCAGGAGAAGGCCACTTACTCCGGCGAGGGGCCGACGCGGAGGTCAGGCCCTGCGAGCAGCTCCCAGGACATGCCCAAACTCAATGTGTCCAGGATTGACCTTTTCTGCCCCCTTCCTCCAGCCTGGTCCTCCCCCACCAAGCCCGAATTTGAAAAAGATGGCAATTCTAATCACTTGTTGCCAAATGCAGAAACTTGAGGGTCATCCTAAAGACCCCTCACATCCTCCTCATTCACATAAAGAGTTGCAGAGTCACTATTCTACCTCCCCACTCATCCTCAGCCCTCCTCCCCTCTTAGGCAAACCGAGACCTGTTCCCACTGTATATACAAGATACTCTTGCAGATTTCCTCGCCTTGTGCTGCCCAGTTCTGCTCTCTGGACCACCCTCCCTCCACATTTCCCCTGTCCAACTTCTACCTACCCTTCCAGACATGGGTCAACTATTATGCATCTGCAATCTCTCCCACCACCAGCCTAGGCAAAGTTAAGAGCATTTGGGGGTTTCTTTCATCTAGAACTTCTTCGATTATATGATAATTACTGGGTTAAGCGCAGCCCTCTCCTACCAGGTGTGAGCTCAAAAGAAGAGACTCTGCCTGACTTATTTCGGGATCCCCAGTATACCTCAAGTCCAGTAGACAGAAGACAAATGTGGGTGGGTGGGAGGGAGGGAAGGAAGGATCAAAGGAGCAGAGTGGAGCAGTTCAAAGCATGCTCTGGAGCCAGACTGCCTTGGACCCAAATCCCAGTTCCCTGGCACAGGGTAACTGCTAGAGAAGGTTTCTATTATTGCTTAGCATCCTGTGTCGTTCAAAGTATACTGTGTCACAGGTGGACCACATTCAGGGCAACCTGGGATCTCACAGGCCTAACTGACGGGGCTTGTGAAACATGCACATAAGAATCACGGCCCTTCACCCATATGTGCACATCATACATGGGGGAAGGTGCTTAAGCTCTCCGCCTGGGCCGGGGAGTTCACTGCACACACGTATCTGAGCTTCAGGGAATAGCCAGGATGTCATGGGGAGCCCGCATGGGGAGTGGATATTGGGGAGGGAGCATCCACCTTGAGAAGCAGACCGGTGAAGGGTGGGGCTAGAGATGAGGGAAGAGAGGCTCCAGGACCCCCTGAGCCACTCTTGGGGTGACTGGGCACAGGAGAACACCACAGGGAAAGAAAGAACCTTTGGCTTCAGTGGGAGGGACAGCCTAACAGTGAAGAGTCAGGGGAGAATTCAGCAAATGAAGGAGAAGTCACCGAAAGCATGGACTAAAGGGGGAAGAGGAGCCCCAGGGACAAAAAGGATGGCCACAGAGTAAATTGGATGTGTAACAAGAAAGTGGAAAACAATTCTGAGTAATACACTCATGGCTGCTAGTCCCTGAGTGCTTCGTAGGCACCACAGTAAGAGGCTTATGGTTTATGTCAAAGCCTCTCAACAATGTCGTGAGGCAGGTACCATTTAAAAATCCACTTTATAGACCAGGAAACTACAGAAAGGGTGGGTACGTCACTTGCCCAAGGTCACCAGCTAATCAGAGAGAACCAGTATTTGAGCACAGATGAACCCTGGAGCCTCTGCTCTCGACTGCTGTGCGGTACCTCTCTGAAGCTTCGAGACTGAGAAGTGAGGTTCGGACCGCCTTGTGACTGGCTAAACCCGTTTCCCCGCCATCTTGATGTTCTCTTCGTGTGCCTTGAGGCGATTACAAAATTTCCCTTCAAGGTTTGTCTCTAGGCTAATTGCTATTTTTGCCTGCCACTAGGATGCACTTTGAATATTATTGCAACTTGTGACTTCTCTAGGATCCTTCTAGGAATCGTGAGAGCGAAGGGTCAGACATGAATGTGGTCACCTCCCTGGCTGCTTTAGCAGACCATGGCAACAGGGCATCTGCCTAAAAGTCTTGGAAGTTAATTTACCAGGCTAGCTCCTCTGTGAGTACTTCATTACCTCCAGCCATTAAGCTAATGTTATGGACTTTTCCATAACATTTCCATGCACTGACATCGCTATTAATAGTGTTATTACTCCCATTAACAGCAGACCCAGGGAGCTGGTACAGGCTTAAATTATTCACTGACTCCCCAACTTTGAAGTTCTTATTTCCAAGAGCAATCCATAGGTCTGAAAAAGGTCTTTGATTAAATTACGAAGAGAGGAAAAATGAACCTGTGTCCGGGCCAAACATCAACTGCTGAAGAGAAATCCAGACGAAGAAGAGAGGACCCCACCTCTCTTGAAGGTATACAAAGGTACTTGGTTGGGGGATCTCAAGATGAGGTCTACCTGCATGGTTTGCTGCTGCCAAGGTTCATGTGGCTGCACCCTTCCATGGCTCCCCGAATGTAAGAGCCCCTGAACCAAATACTCGTCATCCCCCTCCTCCAGGTTTAGGTCTTACCAAGGAAGTCACCTGTAGCTTACAATTTTAAACATCCCATCTAGTCATGTAATCTTGGGCAAATTACTTAAGCTCTTGGTGCCTCAATTTTCTCTTCTACAAAATGGGGACAAAATAGTATCTACCAAATAGGGTTATTATGGAGAATTAAATGAGGTTATGCAAGTAAAGTATTTAGAACAGGGCACAGCTCATACGCGATAAGCCCTCAACAAATGTCCGCTAGTATTATGATCCCATCCCTGCTCTGCCTTCCTCATGCAAGCCCTCCGAACTGCAGCTGACACAGAAGCACAGATTTTTCAGACTGGCCCGTGGGGCAAACCAGAAACAAAAAGACAGAGGTGGTTCCAGCAGTTTTCCTCCTAATGAGGGAGGGGGAGCCCCAGAGACCAGGAGGGAGGAAAGAGGAAAAGAGTGGTCTGGTTTGCTTGGAGCTCTGCTTTCTTACTAGCTGTCAAAGGGTATTGACTACTCAGCTCTCTTAGTGGAAAGTCAAGTTTAAGGTCACTGTCAGGGATGTTTTGACATTTCTACTATCCCTCAGGGCCCATGAGGGTGGAGGCTGCAAATGTCCAAACGCACAGACAACTGACCTTAGATGTGATAGGATAATGGCCGGGAGAGGACGGATCCCTTCTGAGTCCTTACAGGGTCTGTCAGGGCAATGGCCTCCTACTCTTCCAGGACTGTGATTTCCCATTAGCCCAGGCCAGAGCGGGCAAGTGTGCAAAGGACTCATGCATGACTTTTGGGGGTGGCGGGGGTGGTGGCTTAGATGTTTCTTTCAATGGGGCTCCGAATACTTCCTATAGCATTTCCTTCAATTCCACTGTGGGAGCACCCTGGAGATGGAGGAAGGTCCTGCTTCATCCATTTGCCAGGCAGGTCTCAAAAAGTGCACGCTAGGTGACTTGGAGTCTTCAGACAGTCATCCATGCCAACCCCTCGCCACTCCCCCCACACCCCCCCCACAACACAGACCTGCAGGGGGCCAGCAGGAAGCAGACCCTGAGCAGACAGCTCAGGCAGGCCCCTAGAATTGGAGTGTAGCCCTGCTCACCTCCTCCTACAGCCCTTCCTCATCTCGCTTTCTCTGCAGTTGGGCCCTCCAGCCCCAGTTCAGAGGTGCTGAAAGGCCATGGGGACAGAGGCCTGGCCCCTGGAGGGGTTATTATTCAAGCCAATGGTTCCAATGAGATTATCCTCTCTAATGAAGCAGCCACCTCCGCCCTCCCCTAAGCCTGAACTTTCGCTGCCGGAGAATTCCCAGCCAAGTGGAAAATTGGAAAAGAGAGGAACGGAGAAAGGAAGGGGGTGAGGGAGAGGGAAGAGGTGGTGATTAAGCTCTTTAGAAATTAATTCTTAAGGACGGTGATAGAAATATTAACATCCAGTGCCACCGGCTGGGCGAGCAAATTTCAATTTGGAACTGGGGCTGCGAGTGGGGCCTGGGCGAGCCTCCAGGCCGGGGGTGGGTGGGTGCTGGTCCATCCCCTGGCCCTGCAGCAGGGTCCACCAGCCTTGGCTATCAGAGTGTCTCCCGACTTCTCCGCACAGCTGGCACCCCCACCATCCTTAACACCTCACATTGGTCATGGCCTGGGCTGAAGTGCACTGTTGTGGGGAGCCATGTTTAGAACATGAGGAGATTGAAAAAAATGGGGTGGAGGTAGGGTTTCCCAAATGATCTTTACAGAAAAGCTAAGAGGAATGCTTACTCTAACAGGGGCTCTTTGGTCACTGTATCCACATCTGGGAACCCTGGCGAGGGAAGAAACTGGGTTTGTCAATACCACTGGCCTTGCCCTCTTCAGGAAAGCCCATGGAAATGGGCAGGCACATCTGTGCAGCTTGGAGGAAGGTGAGCTAGATGGGGAAAGGAACCCTTCCAGGCAGATGAGTGTGCAAGAGGTTTCCCGCATGAAGGGTGTGGACCAGGCGAGTCGTGCAGTGTTGTGATTCTAGGATCCAGTGACTAACACCATGGTCTCCACCTAAGTATTTAGCCTGTTCTTGGATAAACCATGACTACACTACAATTTCCCTTGCTACCAGCTGCTGAACCGGCAACTGGACTCACAACCCTTTGCCATCTTTAAAGCTCCAAAGCCAACCTGAGCAGCTGCTATGGGGTTCCCTGCCTTCTGGGCCCCACCCACCGAAGCAGGAGGAGGGCACAGGACTTTACGGAACCAGCAGGTGCAGGAATTCAGAGGAGGCCCAAGAACCTCTGTGGGCTTACATGCCAACCACATGGTCCTAGCCCACCACCATCCCTGCACGGAGAGCTGAGATCCACCCTGGGTCCCAGGTCAGAGTCTCTCCTTGCCTTCCTTTTGGCCCCTCCTCAAACAAATGATATATTGAACACAAGCCTCAGGTGGTAGTATAAGGGACTTGGGGAGGTTCCCTGTTTCTGAGAAGAGAATTACAGGTAGCAGGTGCCCAACAGGAAGGGGAACTGGGGACTGTCTCTCTCCTCTCTGTCAGTAGGGAGCGCTGTTTGGACCTATTTATTTCTGTAAGGGTGAGGACGGGTTACGAAAGAGGAGGTGGAAA